CAGGACCCGTCTCTTGCACCGTAATAATACTTAATTAGCAAGAAAATCAATAGCAGTAATTACAGCGCTATTAATACTATCAAAAGCGGCTTCAATCATGTGTGGCAGTGACTCCTCCTCAGATGGCTTCTCAATCAAGACTTTTTCGAAAGCTTGGAAATCATTCTTCATCACTTCCAATCTCGCAATCACGCTCCCCAGAAGATCATTCGACGCAAAGTCTGATTTCTTCGGTTTCAAGTCATCCATCAGTCGGACGATATAAGAACGCAAGCTTTGACTTATCAGCTGCACAATTTCTTGCAACTCGGATGGTCCAGATGGGACCAGGATAATGGTATCCGCGATTGCCTTTTGAGTTCCATTGTGAACAGTAGTGAAGCCGGCGTCTATGAGAGTGTAATTACCAATGGAGCCATCATAGTAATAAATTTCTTTGTTGAAACTGCTTACATCCACAGTGAGAGATTGGACGTCGAGATTAACGCTGGCTGAGACGGAGAGGGCTATTGTAGCAAGATAGCAGATGAAAGTTTTGATGAATAATCCCATGATTATGGTTTTCCTCTTGCAAAATGCAAAAGCCAGAGGATTGTATTGATAATGATTTTTGAAGAATGCAGATATAGAAACTCATAGGTCTTGCAAAATATGGAGATTGTATTGTCGTACTTATAGTCGCCTTTCATAATTAGTTGGTATCTAGGTAAGACTTATCAATAGTTGCAAAAACATAAATCTTCGAGATCTGCGGAACTAACAAATCTCAATTATCCAGTCTTTACTTGAAGTTTACACTTGTAGATTTATAGTAAGATCAAAGTCAAACCCGTTTTCACATTCCATATAAAGTTCCCCTTTATTACCTGGAAATAGATCGCCAATTTGCTGGTGTATCATCTTAATCTTAAGAAGGTCGGTCTTGTATCAAAACCGTATCGACTTCATTCAAACAATCTTACCTGCTTGTTCTCGTTGCCAATCTTGCTAATGGATATGTCTGATCATGACCATCTGTTCAAAGCAGAGATATTGAACTCGTGGGGATCTTTGGGACTGTTGAATCAATTGTAATTTGGCATTCCTCATGTTGTTTGAATATCAATCCTAAAAGTAAATTCGCATGAAGCCTCCAGTCAAACTTTTGAATGTACGGCCATGAAAGAACAATTAATCCCCTTGAAAACCTTGAGAACCATTCGAGTTACTCAAAGTGATCTCGACTTCGAGAAATATAATTCTTGGTTCAGCTGAGTCATTTATCAAAGTTCGAACGCAAAATGTGAATGTTGAATAGTTATTGTACTTATACAGCTCAAATTGTGTATTTATAGAATATCACATTGAATATCACATTGAATATCAAATTGAATATCAAATTGAAGTTGCAGTCATACAAAGTTTTGCCCAGGCCAGGTAGGTAACCAACCAACCTATCGCCTAAAAAGTAACGCGAGCCGCATTTGCTGGCATTGAGGGGCAGACCGCAGGCCGCAGACCGAGTTCTTCTTCCCAAAGTTAAAAACCCTTTCAATTCAAATTTTGTGAACAGAAAAAGATTTACATAAAATTAATCGCAAAATGGCTACACCTTCAAACACTGGAGCTGATCCAGCTTCAGCATCTTTCGAAATTCGAGATCATTTAAAATCGGCCAATTCCAAATCCGATATGGTTGAAGAAAATGATCACTCCCCAGCTCCCACTTCAGCAACAGAGGGGGAGAACGATAATTCACAAAAAGATGATGCTGCTACTATGGCTGCAAGTGAAGAATTAAAGCACACAAGCATTTCAGACAAGCTTCCATTGCCTACAGAAACACCTTCGCAGATACCACAATCAGAAACTCAAACAGAAGATAAGGATATGTCCGGTACAGACAAAGAGACTACGCCCGAGGCTGAATCGATTGATGCGCAAGACGAGGAAATGAGAGATAGAGTTTCTTCGCCCAAAAAGAAGCGTGGCAGAGATCAAGATGACGATACAAATCAGGCGGAAGACGATAGTGCGAGAAACAATGGGATTACAAGTGAAGGAAGTTTAAATGGGAGTCGAACGATGAGATCAGGTCCAGAAAAGAAGAGACCTAGAGATACTTCACAAGAACCATCCAGAATATCAGATAAAGTTTTAGCAAAGGTAGATCTACTTTTATTCAATGTCGTGTTCCTAAAGTATTTAAAAGTTTACTAATATACCCTCTCAGGAGAGAAGCCAGAACGAGGCATCGAAGACTGCCGAAACATCAAAACCATCCACCGAGAATCCTATCAAGTCAACATTTGGAAGTACATCTGGTGATAAATTTGCAAGCTCAGGATTTGGCGCTTTAGCATCTGCTAGTACTTCTCCATTTGGCACAATCGGCGCATCTACACCTAGCGTTTTTGGTTCGGGGGCAAAATCACCACTTTCAGGATTTGGATCTTTTGCCTCTGCCAAACCAGCAAGCTCCACACCTACATCCTCGATCTCAAGCTCCTCGGCAGAAAAGTCTACATCTGGGTTTGGAAGCGCATTCGGTGGCGGTGCCACATCGGGTTTTGGTGGATTAGCATCAGGGAGTGTATTTGGCAGTGGATTAAAAAATGGATTTGCTGGTGGATCTGGACCAAAGCTTTCGAGCTTTGCAGCTCCGGGCAAAGACAATGCTGGATTAGGCAGCAAGCCAGCCAAACCCTTTGGTGCTCCAGCTAGTGATGCCGAGGACTCTGACGATGACGAAGACGATAGCGATGATGGTGCTGAGGGCGATGAAGAGGAAGGGGGGGAGAAGGCAGTTGTTGAGGAAAAGAAAAAGACCAAGAAAGGTAAAAATTTGATTCTGCGATTGTGATATGTTCTTGTTTCTAATCATAATCTAGTCCACATTGACGACGGCGAAGCCGACGAAGCAACCATATTACAGATTCGAGCTAAATTGTTCGCAATGGGATCCAAGGAGCTAGGTTGGAAGGAAAGAGGAGTCGGCACTCTGAAAATTAATGCACCAAAATCATGCGTCGATTTCGACGACAACGGTCATGCAATTCCTGGCAGTTTCGATTCATCAATGCTAGAAGGAAATAGTGTACGATTGGTCATGCGACAAGAAAATACTCACAGAGTCATTCTGAATACTGTAGTACTGAAAGCTATGGAATTTAAACCCAAACCCTCAACTACTTCGGCACAGGTTTTATTCACGGCTTTTGAAGGAGAAACGGAGGCCAAACCTATTAATATGATTCTCAAGGTTAGCACTCTCTTTGCATATGTTTTTATATGAGGCATAATTTCTAATTTCCTTGGGGATGGACAGATGAACGAAAATAATTACAAATTATTTACAAACGAAATCGAAAACATCCAACACGAGCTATAAGCCTGAAACATTATACAACAACAGACCAACCGATACACAATATGACCTTGATCAAATCCCAGATCTTTGTCTTCACAATAACGAGGATGAGTATTATGGGGGGTATCGTTTCCTATCATGCATACCCAGGTTATGCTTTCCGGCCGATTCGGTCGATTTGCTTGGGAGGAGAACTTTTAGAATAAAGCGAATATGGATGGATGGAGGCATGGGTACGATACGATAAGAATTCTAAGGTAGTCATAATTCTACAACGTCGTTGTCTTCACTCGTTTTTGAGAGGGTGGCGTGGAGTAATAATATACCAGGCATTGCCTATTTTCTTTACCTAATCGTTTTCTTCTTCTTTCCTTTCAAGCTTTCGAATCAATTTTGTGAGTGATGGCGAGATTTTAAGGGCGATGCCTTTCTTGGGACGCTTGGGCTTCATCTGGTTGATGAGAATTGCATAGCGAATGGGGGTGGGTGATCTTGAGGATTTTGGGGGTTGTGATTTTGGAGAGGGGGCGGGAAGGGCAGGCAAAATTCGGGGCGGACGGACTTGCATTTTGGAGGGAGAGAAGATACGAGTGGAGAAAGATTGGAGGATTGGGGATTGGACCTTCTTTATAATTAGGTTGGGTAGGTATATTGACATGAGAATATAATGGATTTTTATGTTTGTATATGATTATGCTGGATTGTGATGGATTGTTTGTGTTGGGTTTTGTGATTTGATTGGTCTTGTGAGGTGGAGTGAAGTGATGGAGTGAGGTGAGAGATGGATGGATGGATGGATAGATAGATGAGGGAATCTTGCAGGAAAGTATAAGATGGAGTCATGTAGTAGGTATATATTTGTATCCAGAGAGGCTTTCGGTGAAAGTGGGAAGTGAGGAGAAGCGGAAGAAAAAGGAGGGAGAGAGAAGAGGAGGGAGAACAAATTGGCGAAGGTGATGGTGAAACATGGAGAGGTAGAGATAGGGAAAGAGGAGAGAGAAGGGGGCTAGGGGCAGAAAAGGCGGAGGGACAAAGAAAGGGGTATTTAGTGATACTATATCGGTGAACATGGGGGTAGAGTAAATGACTTAGTAGTCTTTACCTATTACTATTTTGGAGGGGGCTTGTTTCTCTGTTGAAGATACCTTATGAGTTTAAATCTGGGTTTTGGAGGGGTGTTGAGGTGCGTGTTGATATAAAGGGTCTTCGATCTCGTTTCTTATTGGATTTCAGCTGTTGGGTGAGGTTTAAGTATTGTTTTTGATCGGTCTATCCTGCTATTGTTCTTTACTTAGTGGCTATATGATGTCCAAATGGCAACTTATCATTATACTTGTGGTGTTTTATTACATGGCAGGGATTTATTCCCGATATGTTTTGAGAATCATTCATCTGCGAAGTTACTCAAGATTCGACATGGGATCTTCAAATTACAAATCCTGTGGATCAAATCCATGATCTATTCTGACGTGTCAGTAAGCATTACTTCTACTTTGGGTATGTCGATTTGTGTACTATAACGCGGGGTATTTTCTTTTGAGTCGATGTAGCATATATTTCATTCTTCGCCAACCTCCCGCTAGCATCTACCGACTAATTAAAGTCTAAAGCCCCTTTTCTCATTGGCAATAGACTTGGATTTTCTTTCAACATGACACCGCGATGTACATACTGTGCCGATCTTTCTCTAGCTCACCTAATCGACCTCGCAAAGATAGACTTCAAAGGTCATGTCTTTCCGAATCAACCGACGACGAAAGATTTGATGGGTCCGTTTGCTTGGACTTCGTCGCTGGCGAATCCGGATGATTCACCAAAAGAAAAGAAGCCAATGGCTTTTTATCCACATCACAAGTGTTTTCAAGATCTTGTGAAGTCCGCAGAGATGGGGTGTGATTTGTGTGAAGTGATGTTGACCTGTTTGAAGAAGCGCATTCCAGGCGTGGATGGAGAAAGCCAAGGAGATAACTCGGACGAGATTTACTGGACAGATTTCAGCCGTCGTCGGGAGACTGATATCAAGATCTCGATTAATAGTAGTCATGTGTATCCAGATGCTACCCTTGATGAAGTACAAATGTTTGATGCTATCTCCGTTCAGGTTGGTAATATCGGAGATTTCAGATCTGACATCAAGAATCATGGGCACTCTTTCGCGGTCCCTACGCAAAGTTTGACGCTTGTCACAAAACACGGTACGTTACTCTCGAATGTATCTGAGCTAACGGCAGCAGGTGTCTGCAGAAGCTAATCTATCATTACCTCATTCATAGACTCTCCAATTAAATTGAAAGGTTTCCAGATAGGAAGGGCCGAAATCAATCCTGATCTTGGGTCTAAACTGAATTTCGATATTACGAGGGCTTGGCTCAGAGAATGCCTAGAGTGTCATGATTGTCACAATACCAATTTACCACAGCTTCCCACTCGCGTGATTGATGTTACGCCTAACCAGACAAGAATCATCCATTCAAATGGAATCATGGCCAACTATATTGCGTTGAGTCACTGTTGGGGTGGTCCGATACCCACTTCATCAACGACAGCAACACTACCACAATACCAAAACGAGCTTCCCTTTCAATTGTTGCCCGCGAATTTTCGAGATGCCATAACTATCACTAGAGAGCTAGGAGTTCAATATCTCTGGATTGACTCTCTATGTATCATCCAAGACTCTAAACATGACTGGGAACAAGAATCTCAGAAGATGGGAACAGTGTATCGAGATGCATTGGTCACAATATATGCAATGTCATCAGAGGCCAGCACTGGAGGTATCATTCCAAGTCCTGCATATGAGCCAGTCGAAAAGCCATCCACCAATTTGACTTTTACTGATAATAATGGAATGGAGGTAACCGTCAGGGTGGAACCTGCAGATAGTGATGTTTATGACGAAGACTTACATCGTCTGGCAGAATCTTCTCCGCTAAGTAGTAGAGGCTGGACATTTCAAGAATCCGTATTATCTCCTCGTCACATCTACTACGGAAAAAAACAAATATACTGGGGATGTACACAGGGATTTCACGATCTTAAAGGAATGCCCCCTGGATACAGATTTCCGCAAGAAGAGCACATAAATCGTTTGTTACCAGTTCTTCATTCCACCACACAGGACAACAATATGATTACAGACATGGAACGACTCATACTTCTTCACAGTTTCCGTGATATCGTTTGGCAATACTGTCAAAGAAAATTGACATACGATACCGACAAACTCCCTGCAATCTCAGGTTTATCACGACTTCTTCAGCCAGCCATTGGAGGAGATTATCTTGCCGGCTTGTGGAGTTGCGATTTACTCGATGAGCTTTGTTGGGTTCCTGAAATGAAACTGGGATGTTCTCACATCAAGCCCTATCGTGCGCCCTCATGGTCATGGGCCGTAACGAACGATCGCGTCAAATTTCATCGGGGCACCATCATCGCACCTCAAGATCGAATTGCCGAGTTGAAAGTTATAGACTATCATGTAATCCCGAAAGTCGAGAACAATCCTTACGGCGAGATAGAATCCGCGTATCTAATCATTGAGGGTTTGACCCTTCCTGTTCTACGAGCATGGCAAACGAGACATCTGGGAAAAGATGATTATGATGGTTACTCGGGTACATATTGTTTTGATGATCCGGCCGGAATTTCGCATTTTGAAGCTTCGGAGTGGTCTCAGAATTACGGGTGGCAACAGGCTTTTTGGAAAATGGACGAGGATGTAGGAGTGCAGATAATGACGGGTTGGGAGACTCATACGCATGGTAAACGAGTCATTGATATTGAGGAGGAGAAATGGATGCAGGAAGCATATATTGTTTTGCTTGTTGCGTCAACAAATAGAGATGATGGGGATGAGAGACCATATGCTGAGTGTTTGATTTTGAAGAAAGTTGATGGGGATAAGGATAAGGATGGAGATGACGATACAATAGAAGTTTATGAAAGAGTAGGAAATTATGTGGTTCATCATGAACCGGAATGGTTGGAATCTTGGACTATGAAAACTGTTAAATTGATTTGATATGAGATGAACCAATATATACAAGATCTTTTCGGACTTCACTGAAATCCACATACAATGTACTGCTACAATATCCAATCCATACAAACAAATGGAATGCTCCCCTAAACAGATTACAACAAAACAAAACAAGAGAAAGCAAGCAAACAAATCCCATAAGCAAACTCTACACTTCAAACAACATCATGACAAAAATGTGTACGATTTTAGACTCATCTTCTCCTGAGATTTCAACCCTTTTTATATATCCATGACTATAGCTATCTAAATAAGACATTTAAAGACTATGCCACACTACGTCTAAGTCTCAATCTCAATCTCACTCACTTTCTTTCTTCAATTAAGAAATAGTATTAGACAAATTCCATCAATCCTTTACTCCCCCTAAAGAGCGCGATCTCCAAACTTCCAAGTACCAGCTCCTGAATTATGGAATAGATAGATACAATACAAGTATTCTAATGAAATCTCACATCTCTACTCTCTATAGCTTTCAGCTCCATATCTATGATGACTAAATATCTCCAGACACCCCTTCCCCCTCCCTCCTCTCTATCCTTCTAAACATGAAGAAACATACCTAACTCCCAACAACCATCCACCCATCTAATTCTCCACAGATAATCAGCACCTAAGCATCAAGCCATCAAACCAACAAATACCCTACCCACTCCTCCAACTTTCCTCAACCTACACCACAGCTTACATTTACACACACCACAACCCACACCAAAGCACCAACATGAAGCAGTCTCTTCCCAAAAGTCATTCTAGTCCAGTATCAACACTGTCTAAAACTATCTAACACTACCTACTCATCTAACATCTTGATCTGAGTTGTATTCAAAAGACAAACGAAGTATTTTGAAATCTCTACTCTTTATATCCCTTGCTCTTCCATATCTTTCTTTCTCCCTTTCCAAAACTTGATTAAACTCTATCCATCTACCCATAAATTCAAACCATCCATCCATCCATCGAAGAATACACACATACTCTCTAACCATCAAAGAACCCAAAAATGACATACAGTGAAAAAACCACCAACTTTTCAGACACAATTTCACAAAATAGTTTTCACTCATCAATACATACTCACTGCTAAGCACTCCCCAAGATTCACCAAGATTCCCGAATCATCCTGTAAGAACATCAAGTACCTCTGGCTATCCTTTGAATTCTTTCCATTCCATGATATATAGGTACCGTACCATAAAAACTTCTCACAACCACCCTTTCATTCCACTATCTTCCACTCCCAGTCAATTCTAGTTAGACCAGGAACTCACTATCAGATTCAATACCAAAGTAAATCCTAGTCCTAGTACTGTACTAAACGAACCAAAACCACCTACATAGCTACCTAGCTGCCTAGCTACCGTACGAACCCCCTCGAACCAACCAATCCCCTCCAATCCCCTCGCTTAAAACAGCTTAAAACAAGCCTTCCCTGTACTTCCAAAAACAACTTCACTTCAAAAACCCATCACACATTCACCCATCCCCGACTATTCACTCATCTCGAACTTCTCAACCCCTCATAAAACCTCCCAAATTCCCAATCTCCTCCCCCCCACTTCACAAACCCCGAACATCCATCTTTCCAACCTCAAGATATCTTCCACATCACACATTTCCCTGGTTCAATCTCCGATCCATAAATTACCACAACAAATCTCCTTGTTCTTTCCCTTTCCCAAGAGCTCGAGACTCTTGCATTTGCATCTGGACAAACCATTTTGGGGAATAAAAAAACTGTTTTCAATCCACCCGTCGCTGTATAGCGAACATTAAGCACCAGTTTGGTTTTCAGAATTGTCTTCAATCTCGTTAATTCCACGTGATTGTAAGCGCAAGACCGAGTTCGAAGATTCATACGTCTGCTAGCTCGATCTAAAGATATTTTCGAAATCTACATTTTTTAATCTTCCTCGATCTGCAAGAAACAACTGAGCTTTCGAATCATACATCCCGCTGCAATCTTCGAATATTCAACATGTCGGACTTCCCGCCATCGTTTGGTCGAGGAAACATCTTTTCAGGCGGTCCTAGCAAGAACAGTACAACAACCGATCCATCTAAACCCCCTCGCTCAATACAACCAACTTCATCAACTGGTCTTGCAGAGGAAATCATGAATGCGACCATGGAGGGTGCAAGAAATGCGTTAGAGCCAAGCAAGACTTCGGGTGATACTAGCGATATATCTTTTGGTACGTCTTCCATATTCTTTTTGCATCATCCACAGTAATTACTGACATAAAGAGAAGACACTCACTATTACTGCGATACAGAAACTTCCGAGGAGGAATACAGCACCATGACAACCGACACAGAGATCGAAGCTCCACCTCCACCATCACGAGGTCTTCTCCCCAGCGAACAACCCCTTATCCCCTTCGTTCCCGCTCGATTGAAGAAAGGCGAACGAGCCATGATCACACCAGAGATCCAAGCTCTACTCAACGCAGCCGGAGTACAACCCAACCCCAAATACGAGGGTGAAATCACCGCCGAAGTTCTGAACGACTTGTTGACTCCAGCTCAGGAAAACTGCGCACTACACATCACGAATATCCACCCCAAAGCTGAGATGGCGGATCTCTTCTCCACGATTCACCACGGGAAAGTGTATTCTGTTGCGTGGAACGCACCGAATGAAGAGTGGACCCATGCAGCTGCACGACTTTGCTTTTGCGCACGCGAAGCTGCAGAAAGATATCTCGCGGATGGTGGGACAGGTGATGGGATCCAAATTCTCGGGCAGCGAATCACAGTAGAATGGAACAGAAATAGAAAGTGTCCTGTTCCAGAAGATGAAAGCCATCAATCTCGCGTGGTACAACTTCGCGGTCCACGATCTTTCGGGTTCTCCGCTCAAGATCTTTTAGATTTTTTCGGCAAAGATATGAAATTGTTCATCATCTCCCGAAAGGAATGGGATCACAAGACTGATCAAAAGGTCGTAGAGTTAGCTTTTTGCGGCATCAAAGCTCAGTCGAGAATGGCATTCCGCTGCTTCAAGCAGAAAGTCGCGGCACAAGGATTAGGAGAGCAGTTCGACATCCGATTTGCCGCTGATCCATGTGATCCAAGTGCGGCTCAAGGCAGAGACATGTTCATGCCTCGACCACGTACACGTCAAGTCACACCACCGCCACCACCACCACCACAACCTCGCACACTGGATAGTATTCGTACATCCAGTTGGCGTTCTGGGACATTTTCCGGACCAAATCGAAATGGAAATACAAACTCCGCACAACGAGCTGGACCAAAGTATGAGAAGGGCACCGGCCCAGATGCAAAGTATTGGAGACGTACTGAGTGAGGCAACTAGCGAGACGAGATTGACTCTGGAGTAAGAGTCTTATAGAAGCAAAAATCCCCTACGCACACATTTTCGGTCACAATTTCCTCCCGTTTTAAGGGGATTGGCCCATCAAGGTTAAAAGCCATATCATTGACCATCTTGTTCCCCTCACTACACATTTATGGCACCACCAGCGAAAGGAGCCCCACGCCATACCTCATCTGCAGCCAAACAGATTCGAGCGACTTCCATCTGACAGGCTTTGTCAGAGCAAAATCTACCAGACTAGGACGTCTGTATCATATTTTCGCCACATAGCTGCTCTGCACAAAGAAATATACATAACCCCGACAAAACATTCCCCACTTATTACGACACTTACAGCGAGTGACGGTACCTCGACTTCTTCATTCCTATTCCAGACTCTTCGAGTCTAGTGAAGGAAGAGCTTGATCACAAGAGGCTCTGTGTTGGTGGTTATAGCGTTTGATTTATTGCATCCTAAGGATATCCCGAGCAGCTTCCGGGTAAAAAGTTCATCATTGATTACTATCATGAAAACCACAAACGCATAATTTGTTCTGATGTGATGTGATGTGATAAGATGAATGCGACTCATTGTCCTGCGCTCGAAGAAACGTTTGTACAGGAGGAACTCCTAGGCTGACTTGACCATGACGGATGACTCCTGCTAGTGAAATAACTCGTATGCTTCTAACTGTCGCCTTGAATGATTCCGAGGGGAGATCCCCAGTTGTTCCTTGCCTTAAATGATTCAGGCATAATCCAGTAGGAGCTCACCCAGTATCCGTACAATATCGTCTGGAAATGCATACAATGAAACTCGAAGTCCAGATGCTTTTCGTCAAGCCGTTCGGGCAAGCTTTGAAAGAAGGAGAATATGTCCCTATGTGCTCACGAACTGGGAGTATCTGCCTTTCAAGAGGCTCCAACCCAATCCTTGAACTGCCAAGTGATATCCAGAAAACACCAGATCCCATTCGTAAAGTCCCTTAACCCACAATACAAAGTCCAATCAGAATAAACGAAGAGTGCAGCTTCCCCAGCAATGCAATGCAACCTTGAAGCAGACATAACCAAATAAGTGCTTATCCGCAGATTTCTTTTTCCTCCAAACTATCTGTTACTATCCACCACCACCCGGGTATCATCCTGGTACATTCCACCTTATTATTGCATTTCAGGTTTCCAAAAAATCCACGAAAAAGTGCCGATCAAAAAAACAAAGCTCATTCGAATGCATAGTCGTTTGTTTCTCCTCCTTTGTATCGATGTAGAGTTGCAGCCTGATTCGAGATCTTTCCACCCAATCAAGATTTTTCCCGATGGTTACCTGCATATTAACTTGGATAATTGGTTACATCCTAGTTCGAACACAGGACTTAACTTCAAAACTTCTTGCGCTCTCCAAAACTCTGAGCTTGATTAATATCAGCTCATCATCTCTTGCACAATATTCTTCAAAATTATCATCACAACAGACCGCTAGATTTGATCTTTCTACATCAGTCTTGATCCCTTTCCCAACTCGTGTTCTTAAACACAAACGAAAATGGTCCATCAACCAAGTACGTGGGAACTCTCCCTCGATCGTGCGAAGCAGCAATTTCGTGACCACCAACACGAATGTCAATATGATGGGAGAATTAGGGGTTCCCGCAAGCTGCCAAGTTCGATGAAAACCAGCTCCAAAGTGAGAACCACTACGAGTTCTGATCATAATCAGGATATTAGCCGTTTGTAATAAGACCAAGCTCACACTATCTATTGCTGACTAGAGACAGATGATAGCGAGTTTCCCTTCGATTCATGGGTTGAGTCTATAACTGAGGCGGTCATCCCCTACGAAAAACATACTTCATGCGTTCCATCAAACGGCAGTACGCAAGTATTTGACTATGCACAAAAGCTTGGCAGTTTTTCATCAAAATTGAGTGTAGCATCCAATGCCAAAGATACATCCACCGCAACATCTGGAAGAGTTTTTAATGAAAACTATCAAGGTACCATGATCCGATGCCTCGGAATGAACACCGAAAGGCAGATCGGATTTAACAAGTCCTCATCTGATAAATCTTACACTCGATCCGTCTCAACTTCTTCGGGTCCAAGTTTATCGTCCTCGTTTGCATCGACTGCATCGACTGACATTACGACGCCAGTGCTTGACGGAAACCATTTCCAAACACCCATCTGGGATAAAAATATGCCCATGCCACTTATTGAAACCTCAAACAGTCTTCATAGATACGAATCATTGGCCAAGACACCCCAAGACGTCGTGGTGCTAGATAAGTACCCAGTCAACGAAGACGTGAATAAAAAGAAATCCGAGTTCGTTCCGTCAGCAATCCTCAAGGGTGAGAGCCGTCCGACCAATCCCGAAATGATTCGTAAAGCTGCAGAAGTTGGTCTTCCTTCCAATCCAAATTACAAAGGCGAGCTCACCAACTTCAATCTCCGCAATGCCATGTGTCTCGACCACGAGAATTGTTCGGTGAGAATACATAAAATTCCTCCAGAGGCCAGTCATTCCGAGATCTTCGCTGTGATTACCCATGGCAAGGTTTTCTCATTCAACTACACCCCTCCCGTCAAAGGACTTTTCACTCATGCCGCTGCCGATCTTGTCTTCCTCACACGAGACGCAGCACAAGACTTCTTCCATGACGCAAAGTTCGGCCGTGGCCTTTATATTCGCGGGGAGAGACTTACGGTCATGTGGAATAGGATTAAAGTGATGCCGGCGGAAGGTCGATATGAAAGAATGTCAAGAGTAGTCAGAATTAAAGGCCCAGCCACCGAATTGTCGGCAAAAACTGTCGAAGTATTCTTTCGGAGCAGATTTGAGTTCGATCTTGTCACGAATAAAGAATGGGTCCAGAGAGATGGGTGGAAAATTGTCGAGTTAGCGTTTTCGTCTATCCGTAGTCAAAGTGAGTCGGCGGTAAAAAGTTTCAACCTTTATGTCGAACAGGAGATGCCGAATGTTGGATATCGTATCTGGTATGCTCCTGATCCATGCTTCAAGCTTGAACGCATAGGAAATTTTCGATTATCCAGAAATTAAGGGAATCGCCTTGATTAGATAAAGAGTTGATTTACGGCACTGGATTGGTTTATCATGACAGCCTTTCAGCTGCCAGCTTATGAGCAGCATCTCATGAAACATCGAAGCGATCCTCATCGTATAGCACTCGTCCGTCTTTCTTCCTTTCTAGACTTTCAACTTCGAGCAAATATTCCGGACGCGAATGGGTCTTGTATACAACTCGTCCAATCCTACATAATCCGACCTGATGATTTTGAAATTTAATGCCATGCACCTAGCGATTCATATAGGCCCTTTGGTCCGAGTTTATTCGTTTCTTTTTGGATAGTGCGTGTATATGGGTGATAGCTGGGCTTTGTGCGTCTTCTTTTAAGTGGTCCAAGAGGTGTGTTATCAAGAGCACAAGTTACAAGTCTGCAATGGTGGTGAAACCGAGGCGTAATGTAGGCTCATGAGTCCTGATACTGAGGATTAATTAGGCTTTGACATGAATGATCAAGCCAGAAAGCCAAAAGAAAAAAGCTCCCATACAGCTCTAGTGATCAAATTGTCAAAGCTGTAGGATCTAAATCGACATGGTGAAGTGTGCGTCCTTCTAAAAGCCCATTAACTCAATTCACCAGACTTGGCAAGGATCTTCATTCACACCATTAGACTCTCGTCGCATTGATATTCGTGCGCCATCAAAGCCGTTCCCGCTTTTCACCTCAAATACTCTAGTATATCACGAAATCACATCAAATACTTTGCACCGCACTCACGGGCTTATCTAGAAGACTCGTTTGATTTTCAGATCTATCAATATACACAGGAAAAGCTAGCAGATACCCGTTCGCAAGTCTCGTAAGATGCTCTGCCAAAATCTGATTTACATAAGTATAGACGGAGCAAGAACCACAAATTATATTGGTGATTGTGCCTCGATCGCCAGCAGCTGGACGATTCCGCACGCGACGAATTCAAGATCAACATAGTACAGTACACCACATGCCCCTTCATGGCATCTTATTTCCTTCTCTTCACTTCAAACATGTGGAATAACTTTTGGCGGATTTGGATAATAGAAAGCTGCGACAGCGATGTTGATGTACACAAGTACGCAGAGAGCGCCCTCTAAGTAGTTGGATCTGCAATCTTTCAAGAAGTTTCCCACCACCAAAATGGACAGAATTAGAACAACGATAATAAAAAGATCAAAATTCAAATCCATTGGGATATCAACGATCCAGCCAATAATGACAACAAGGGGAGCGTTAAATAGAGCCGTTTGAATGGTAGCACCTAAAACATGGGAAAGAGCCAGGTTCATAGAATTGTCATGAGCTTCGTCAATGGCTGTGAGATGTTCGGCAAACTTCTCAACAAGTGGAACCAAGATCAAACCGACGAAGCTGTCGGAAATGCCATCTTCATCAACAATGAATTCAATGCTTTCCACAAGTCTAATAGCAGTGAATGTAACCATGCTAATTGCAACAATCAATGCCACAATGCATTCCGTAAATGTCAACTTTTCCTTTAAAAGATCTTCTTCATAATCCTCTTGTTTATGTTCATCGGCCTCAAAAATAGCGTCGTATATAGATTGGTGAGAGCGCATTTGGAAGTATACGTATAAGGCGTACGAAATTATCAGTAGGATAGACGTCATTCGTGAAATATGAAGAACGGAATCAGCGAGCACGAAGGGATCATAATCAGAGTTGGCGCTTTTGACCGCCATGTTGAAAGCCGCGGGTACAATGAGACCGAGTCCACTAGTTCATTAGGTTAGACGATGCTTTTTAAGAGATCTGGAAGAGCACATACGCCTGAAGAAGCAAATCACTTCCAACTTCACTAATTTCCTCATCAAACTCTTGCTCATCGTGTGTCAATCCTCCTACGAAGAAGCACATGCCTAAACACAACAACTGAGTAGCCAATATAGAACCCATGATGGCGGCTTGCATGACTTGAAATTGTTGCCTGGCGAGAAGTACCATGAACATTACGATTTCAACAACAGATCCAAGGGTGGTTTCCATCAAAATGCCGAATACTTTGTCCAATTTCCGGGAAAGTTCTTGACCAGCAAAACCTATAAGATTTGCAGAAGGGATCATGGATAAATAATTGAGAATGAATATGACTGTATGCCATTCTGGACGAGCATAGGTAATGACGATGGCAACAGGAACAATGGGCCAAAGAAAATTGACGGCTTGTGAAGCACTACTTGAAGATTTCCAGCAAATTTGAATACATTTGATGGGACTTAATCCTCTTCGACCACTTTCACCTTCTGGGGCAATACCTGTTGTCACCCTGAATCCTAGGTGGTTTACCTCGAAACCAGGAATGAGTCGATCTTCTTCAGTACTTTGTGGAGATCCACTCTCTGCACGAGCTTTGTTCCTAGCAATAATAACTTCATCTGGTACGCTTGAAAAAGAGATCTGAATCGAATGCTTTAATGGCGGACGAAGACCACCGGAATTTCTGGAGCCATGTGACGGGGTGAGTGCACTTGTAGATGCCATTGTTGAGATTGAGCTGAGTTGTGTTTCTTTTGAGAGGGGGTGAAGAAGGTGAAGGAGGCGAAGGAGGCGAAGGAAGTGAGGAGAAAGCAGCAAAGAACATCATGGCAACACCTACGAGGAGAAATCATATGGAAAGACCGGAAGTCGTTACTGCCATTGATTAACTGCACCTACCATTTTTATATTGCCTGATAACCAGGAAGGGCCATCGCGACTTCCACATCATCTTTGCTTAGCTGAAATGCATTCTATGATGGAATCGAGAGGTAGAATTGTAGGTTGTTTGAACGGTGTACAACTCCTCAATTGCAGAATTTCCCTCAACATCTATCAACATCAATATCAGCATTGCAATTGATAGCTGTGATGATGGCATCGATAATAAAATTGACCACCCACCTGCAGTGATTGATGAAGATTATGTTGCGGTGCCCAGTTGAAGAGATCCGGATGCGGAACAACATTTCGCCGCCATAACCTTATGTAAGGTTAAAGTTCAAATAAAGTTTACCTTACAAATCGGATTTCTCCAATTTAGGAAATGGACAAGTTCGATCTCCAAGGTCCGTTGTCAGCACGGCAACTTATAATCCAACTTTATACCAAAAGTGCCGAAGCCTTCAACTTTAGCTGAGGTTTCATCCTTAGATGTCATGTCTGCAAGCAGGCCGAACTGCGAGGTCCGATGTGCGCTGGATGACACTGGAATGCTTTGATAATTACACAGACATTTGATTGCTAACCCATCTGCACTATGACTACAGCTGACTACAGCTTGCCCGCTTGCGATATCAGCTCTTTTCCATTTAGGTATAAGTGTTTGATTTTGTACACGTTTAGACTTCGATGATCACCGCCTTGACGATCACTGCTTAAGAAACATACTTAGAGCTCTCTCAGACTTCACTTAACATTATTTGCACATCTTCCTTTTTCTCAAGATGTCTCCTGCAATTCCCAAAGATTCCACGGTCCTTGTTACCGGCGTCAACGGCTACATTGGATCTCACGTCGCTGATCAACTGCTCAAAGCAGGATATCGAGTAAGAGGTACTACGAGAGATGCTTCCAAGGTGAAGAAATTACTCGACCTTTGGGAGGAGCAATATGGAAAGGATAGAGTGGAGGTGGCAGTTGTACCAAACATGGCCAATGAAGGAGCTTTTGATGAAGCTGTGAAGGGTGTAACTGGAATTGCACATGTAGCATCAAACTTGTCCTTCTCACCAAACCCAAATGATGTAAGACTTTATTCATTCCATTGATAATACGTGTCTAACTTCTAAACCTTTATTCAGGTTATTCCAGAATGCCTCGCTGGTGTAAATGGTCTTCTTAAATCTGCAGCCGCAGAACCAAGCGTTAAACGATTCGTTATTACATCCTCGGCTATAGCCGCAACAAGTCCGAAGCCCAACAAGGAATTCTATATCGATGAAAATACATGGAATGATGAAGATGTCGAAGCAGCGCATGCCCCACCACCATATGAGCCCTCGAGAACATGGGCTGTCTACGGTTCTAGTAAAGTTGAGACCGAGCGAGCGGTATGGAACTTCGTGAAGGAAAAGAAACCAGGCTTTGTAGCCAACGCCGTCCTCCCAGATACTGTCATGGGTTTGGTTTTAGATCCATCACAAGGTTCTACCGGTGGCATTATTCGACAACTTTACTTGGGAGATAACTCCATGATGAAAGACCTTCCTCCTCAGTATTTCATAGATGTACAGGATGTAGGTCGTCTTCACGTCTCTGCATTAATCGATGAGGATGTGAAGAATGAGAGGTTATTTGCTTTTGCCAAACCATTTAACAATAACATTTTATTGAGAACTTTCCGCAAACTTCGACCCGATGCCAAAATCATGGATGACTTTCATGATGATAGTATCAACGATTTATCTAAGGTTGCTAATCAAAGAGCCGAAGAGCTTTTGAAAAGGGACTTTGGGCGTACTGGTTTTACCAGCTTGGAGGAATCTTTGGCCAACAATATTCAAGGACTTTGAGTTTTGATATAATGGAATGGGAAGATAAGCCGAGTCTTGATTGTTGTTATTGAAGTATATCATTGTCGTTTTTGCTTGTTTTTTTCTCTGGCCAGACTTTGATGGAATGTACTTGAGTACCTAGGTATCTATAGTGGACTTTCCTCTAGTATCAATTGATAACATTACCAATAACCTTTTGTCTTACTTTTCAACACGAATTTTGCATATCGATCATACTTGCAGCTATGGCAATCCTAGGATGCATTTGAACTTGAGACGACAATACTAAATCAAAATCCGTTTCAAGATTCGGAATTGATCTTTTATAGAGCGTGCATCAACTGCAAGTTTTCACCCAGGCGTGCGTGATGCGCTGGTTCATCGATTTCTGGCCGGACTTCAGATACGAGGGCTTTGACAAGACTCAGAAGACTCAGAGTCGTATGCTGGTCCATTCTTCAAGCTCAAGCTCAATGCCACTATAAAAGCAAGTGATTACCATTGAGACCATCCATAGACATGTTTGCTTCAAAGCTGCAAAGAGACATATGAATGGGAAGTCCATCACGATACAATATTTGTACATCCACTTCCTGGATCTCATTTTGCTTGCTTGTTTACGGGGAATTTTATATAACTTACCTAGGTAGGTATTGAAAGATTGAGATTTGCACGATGAGTTAGTTGATTGCAAGTTATTTATAATTTGACAATAATAATTAAATTCTTAAATTCTCGGTTCCGATCGATGGCGAAGAGTTTCGTGGTGTTGAGCATGGGGTAGGTACTCAATTGTCTTTCTCTTTCTCTTTCAATTATGTGAACTAGAACATATTGCTCTGCATAGTGTATGTTTCAATTATCCACCAAATAGGAATGTTTTTCCGCATCTCTTTCACTTTCCGGACCCTGTATGGCTTGCCTTCTGATTTGTGGATGGGTTGGAGGATGGTGTTTAGATGTGAATGGGGTTTTATATTTGGTGCTTAGGGGGAGGAAGGAGTGTGATGATATGGTATTGAGGGGAGGGGGTGTGTATTCACTCGTTTTCGCTGTTTTTGGTGTTAGGGGGATGGTTGGGAGATTGTGGCGGAGGGCACTAGTGTGGAGATTCTGGGTATATAAGAACTGCCTGGATTTAATGTACAAGTGTATGAGCGACCTGCGTGTGGTGCAAACAAATTCAAGCGCTCTGCTGGATGATTTTTGGGATTTCCGGATTCTAGTTTGCTTTCTAGCCGGACGAAAGGGATGTATTTCTGTCCAGTAGTTGAAGTGTGAAAAATTCGTTTGACGGGGGATTCGAATTGACAAGAAGGGTTTTATAGCGTGTTTAATAGCAATGATAATGTGAATGTGAATGAAAATCGACATATTTTAGCTAGGAATAGTTCGGATGGGTTGAGATATACTGCTCCCAAAAACTGGGACCCGAATTAACAATGCGTGGGTAGAAGGAATTCTCGCAGCTAGCGAGAGGAGACCATTCGAATTCCTCCTAGAATTATCAAGTACATGGTGGATGGATACAATTCATGAAAAAAGCCCAGCTTATATACGTATTTGAGGAGGACTCTCGCCTCGGGTAAATTACCTACGTAGGTATCTAGATGTGAGAGTCATTCACTGAACACCTCGGGATATCAATTTTCTCACATTCAATCCCAGCGATATTGGTATAAAATAAAATCCCGCCATCTGTGTAATATCAACAGCAATGCAACGTCCTACCTTCGATTTTCTCAAGAGGGAAGCCAGCAATATACTGCTTCATCTCTGCGCCATTACCATAAGAGTTCTTGCAAGTTTTTTCCTTGAATCATGAACGGGATTTCGTCTTCAAGCCCAGGAGTGTCATAATTGGAATGAAAATTGTATGACGGTAATTGAGTCATGCGAGTGGTGACGGCTTTTGGTGTTGGAAATGACAATGACAATGATTAGGACGCTCACTCTAAGTGGTTTGTATGTTTTTGTTAAGTAAGTTCATAGATGATAAATGATAGCATTCAGATGCTTAATTGACGAACCAGTAGGTATACAACGCCAACCTTTCCTTTCCACGTACTCCTGAATCAATCAATGAAGCTGCTCTCATCCATATCATGTGGTATTTGATCTCCCGACGACACTGCGTTTAATACTCACAGTTGAAGACCAAGCGAGTCTTTCCAGCTGCGAATAGATATTTCAAGCACATGGACATCATGCTATTTAGATAGATATCCACCCATTCATATTTTTTGACATAAAATCCTCACATCTAACTTAAGCATATAAAGAGATTTCTGTGCTTGAGCTTCGCGTATCAAAGTCGTACTAGCGCTCCCCGTTTATCGCAGCAAGTTTATGGACTTTTTTGTCAGTGCCTTAGAGGAATCGGGATGTTTGGAATTACCTATGCTTTGTTTGCAGTCAGGATAGATTATAAGGAGATTCTGGGGTTAATGAGGTTTTGTGTATTGAGAATGAGAAAGCAGAGGTGGTGGTTGTGAAGGAGGAGTAAATGACAGCGAAAGCAGCTTGCGGTAAACATTTCAAGTGATAAAGGAATTCCACGGGAATCGAAGGTTCGCTTGACTATTTGTTTGGTCTTTGGATTGTCTTTCCCAGTACCTTCACGAGAAGCTCATGGTTCGATTTCTGTTGCATAGTGAATCTTGTTACACACGGAGGCATTCTCTTGAGTCTTTCCTATTTTATACTCCAGGTTTGGAGATAGACGATGAGCAGTGTATACTGTGATATGAGACCAGCTTCCACGTGGGGCCGGATCGCTGGATTACAATGTGAATCGCAGTTATGAAAGGATAACGTTTAAAGAGAAGGGTATATAAATCTCGAATTGAGCAACCTATTTCTGTTTCCGCACAAGCCGACAGAAAAGATAGAAACAACGCCCATATGGGCAAATCTACAATCGTGTATTTCCCCAAATATCTAGTGAGTTTTTCTTGCCTGAATTTCCCGCAGAAAGTGGTGCCTATGATCGAGTCACGAAGTTTAGAG